ATTTATTGATTTGGTTTAGGATTGCGCTATTATTTGTGGTTATTTGGTTTATCACATTCATTATCATTTACTTTTTTAATAGTAGGGCACTTAACCGATTCTTCAATCGGCTGCTGGCGCCGCCATCTTGACTAAAAGAAACCGACAGTTTTTTTTTTTTTTAAGTGTAGCACTTTAATAGAAATCAAAATCACATAGACAAACATATTCCACTCATTTTGTACAGGTGCTTGTAAACCAGCACCAGTGTTTCAGGCATATATGTTTTTAAAGATAGCCACTTTGCACTTCAAGCCTCGCTTTCACTTAGCTATTCCTGGAAGTGTCGTAATGACGCTCCGGAGGGGTTACGATATCTTTTGGTCTGAGCACATTTCGCATCACCCTGTGTCAGGGATCGCGGGTTTCTCCGTGGCGCACGGGTCTGCGCATGCACGGAAGTCTAATGTGAACAAACATACGGGTGCTAGGACATAGGCGCCCGCGGCAACAATCGCGGCCACACATGCGCACTGGTGCACACGGGTGCGCACCTGACACCAATGACAGCGCAGGGCGCACTATTTAAACCAACTCTTGCATGCTCAAGTTGCCGTATGGTCTTGTTCCTGCTTGTTCCCTGTTATGTTTTCCTGTGAGAGTATCCTGTTGCCGGCCCAGCCTGTCCCTGATTGCTGTTGACCGTCTCCTGTTCTGACCCCTGGCTCGTCCGACTATTCTTCTGCCTGTTCCTGATTATCTGACCTCCTGCTGCTGAACCTGGCCTGTGACCTGACCATTCTCTTCCTGCTGCTCTGTACTGTTACGCCTCCACTGTTATCGACCCGGCCTGTCTGACTTCGCTACTGCTTCACGGTGTGTTCCGTCCATCCATCCTGCACGGATCCATCCGTTGCTGTCTGAGCCTGCTCTGCCTCTTCACATCAGGCTCTCATCCTGCTACGGGCCACTGGCGGTTTCCTCTAATACAGCTGGGTGTACCCAGGGGCCGCGACCAGGTCTCAGTCTGCTCCAAGTCCATTCCCACCATCAGGGGCTCTGGTGAACAAGCAGATTAGGGCTTAGACTCCGCGCCCTGGGGAAATCCGGTCTGTGGAGCTCTAGAGGCACCGTCAGTAGGTCCCTGACACCCTAAATGCGCCCAATCTTGTCTGATCTCAGAAGCTAAGCAAGGTCAGACCTGGTTGGTACCTGGATGGGGCACTGCCTGGGAATACCAGTGCTGTAGGTTAAAATTTTTTGCATGGACCAAAATTGAGAGAACCCTCAGGTGGAACTTATCTTGTACATATTGCACTATATGAAGTTTATTGTTTGGGCAAATGTAGCGCCTATCGATTTATATTTTATTTGCATGTTGTGTTAATCGCACTTAATTAGGGGCAGCTTCACTTAGCATAGAATAACACTGAGACAAGATTTGTCTAGGGTCACTATAGTTGGCCCAAGTTTTGGGGGCCTTACACTTAGTTATTAGTTTATAGGGATTATTTGTATTTACATATCCCTTCTATATTGTACAGTTGTGACCAAAATTATTCAACCCCCAATGCTGTAAAGGGGTTTAGGGACTATAGTGTACATTTGGAATTGTATTCAGAATCAAATCCTACAAGGACGTTGTAACTACCCAAATGCAACTAAAATGACATCAATTGTTTATGTAATACAGTAGTAAATGGTTCTTATGTGGTTTCTTCATTGCCACAATTATTCAACCCTTAAAGACTACCACTCTGAAGAACAGAGGTTCATACAGGTGCTTTCCATCAGGTATTGAAAACACCTGTGGATGTCACCGAGCAGCAATCAAGCATAATAAGCACCAATTAGGCAGCTTTAAAATGACTGTGATACTCAGCTCCTTCTAGACATTTACTGGTGTGGTTACAAACATGGTGAAGGCAAGAGAATGGTCCAGGAAGACAAGAGAAGAGGTGATTTCTCTTCACAGGAAGGGCAATGGCTATAAGAAGATTGCAAAGATGTTAAACATACCAAGAGACACCTTAGGAAGCATCATTCGCAAATTCAAGGCAAAGGGCACTGTTGAAACGCTACCTGGTCGTGGCAGAAAGAAGATGCTGACTTCGACTGCTGTGCGCTACCTGAAGCGTAGAGTGGAGAGAAGTCCCCGTGTGACTGCTGAGGAACTGAGAAAAGATTTGTCAGATGTGGGTACAGAAGTTTCAGCCCAGACAATAAGACGCACACTGCGTAATGAAGGCCTCCGTGCCAGAACTCCCAGGCGTACCCCCTTGCTGTCTCCAAAGAATAAGAAGAGTCGACTGCAGTATGCCAAAAGCCATGTGGACAAACCACAAAAGTTGTGGGATAGTGTTCTGTGGACTGATGAAACAAAATTAGAACTGTTTGGGCCCATGGATCAACGCTATGTTTGGAGGAGGAAGAACAAGGCCTATGATGAAAAGAACACCTTGCCTACTGTGAAGCATGGTGGAGGGTCAATCATGCTTTGGGGCTGTTTTGCTTCTGCAGGTACAGGGAAGCTTCAGCGTGTGCAAGGTACCATGAATTCTCTTCAGTACCAGGAGATATTGGATGGAAACGTGATGCAGTCCGTCACACACCTGAGGCTTGGGAGACGTTGGACCTTTCAACAGGACAATGATCCCAAGCATACCTCCAAGTCCACTAGAGCATGGTTGCAGAGGAAAGGCTGGAACATTTTGGAGTGGCCCATCGCAGTCACCAGACTTAAATCCGATTGAGAACCTCTGGTGGGACTTAAAGAAAGCAGTTGCAGTGCGCAAGCCTAAGAATGTGACTGAACTGGAGGCCTTTGCCCATGAAGAATGGGCGAAGATACCCGTAGATCGCTGCAAGACACTTGTGTCAAGCTATGCTTCACGTTTAAAAGCTGTTATAACTGTAAAAGGATGCTGTACTAAGTACTAAGATTGAATGTCACTTGGGGGTTGAATAAAACTGATAATGCTGTGAGCACAGAAAAGACATTTGTGGTTATTTCATTATAACTGTTATGTTATATTTGTCTGACCTACAAGTGCCTCTTTAATGTAAATGTAAGCAAGATGACTGAATGATCAAAAGCAATGTCAAACTGGCCAAAACACTCAATTTCAGTGGGGGTTGAATAATTTTGGTCACAACTGTATATTGAGATAGATAGTGTCAGGAATGGACTGGCCAGCAATAGTGGGACTCGCCTGCCTTATGTGCTGCAGTACCAGGGCTGGCCAGCGGGTGCTCCCAGCAATCAGAGACTCAACCTTGCAGCCAGTCAAACACCTGAAACTGCTTATACTGATGTATTTAAGGGATGGCCAGACCTGCAGACTCTGCCTTGGTGTGTGTTTTTCCTGGGCCCTGTATCCTGTTCCTGCATCCTGTTCCTGTCTTGTTGCTGACCCTGCCTGATCTGACCTCTGCTGACTTCTCCTGCTCTGACCCCGGCTCGTTCCTGACCATCCCTCTGCCTGACCCTCTGTACCACGCTGCCCGCTACCTGCTGAACCTGGCTTGTGACCCCGACCATTCTCTGCTTGCTCCCCTGTACCTACCTGCCCGATTGATATTGACCCGGCCTGCCTGACGACGCTTGCATTGTATGTACTGTTATCTGTGGGTGGTTTGGTTTGGTTCGTTTGCACGGTGTTATGTTTTAGTATTGCACTGCGTTTATGTTTGTATTGTTAGTGTTAATAAATCGTATTGTTTATAACATATCTGAAGCCTGCGTTAGTCACATACCTCTGGTCACACCCTGGAGCCCTGACATTACACCAAGGCCAATCCTGACCAGAAGTGGCTGCACAGGGAAGCCATCTTGGTTTGTTGATGGAAGGATGGATCTTGATGAGGTTGTGTATTTATATCTGCTAGTGTTTGATGACAGAGAGTATGCTTATCAAACTCTGAAGGAGTATCCCCGGGATGAACTGCTAGAATGTATACGGCTTGCTCATGTTCTAGTAGATCAGGGCACAGAATTCTCTGAGGTGCAGCCATTGATTCAGGTTTGTGCGGAGTTGGTTTCATCTTGTACCCCCGAATGCAGGGATGAATTTTTGTCGCCATTTAGTGCCGACCAGGTAGAGTCCCTGGTATGGTTATTGGAGGATGATATGGATTACTTTCTGGAGCGTTATTCTGCATGTTCACCACAGGTACTAAGAGATTGTATAAACGCAGTGCAGTCTTTGGTCAGACAGGCTTTGTGTAAGCTCAGCTTTGTTCAACCCATACTGCAGACATGGACAGATTTGTTGCACCCAGCCTCAGTCAGCTACAAAGACCCAGTCCTGCTTCTAATCTATTTCCTCAAAGCTATATTCCTGCATTCCCAACAGCTCCTCCTGCCCTGCTATCTACCGCATGTCAGTACCCTGTTCCCACTCGCTGCACCTATCCTGCCTTTAACCCTGTAAAAAAGCCCTCTGTAGCAACTGTTCCCTCCCCTGTTCCATCCTCCAGCTCTTCTCTGTCTCCAGCTGCTGCATTCGTTTGCAGACCTGCGTTTACTTGCAGTGCTCCAGTAGTTAAAACCAGAAAAAAAAGCAGAAATTCTTTCCAACCAATACCATCCTGCCAGTATCCAAACCGGTGAGCCTGCCGTCTGAGAACCTGCCTTCCGTGGTTCAGCCTGGTGCCTCGGCACCCGCAATTCAACCTGATGTCTGTACCCGGCCTGACGTCTGTACCCGGCCTGACGTCTGTACCCGGCCTGACGCCTGTACCGGCCTGACGCCTGTACCCGCCTGACGCCTGTACCCGGCCTGACGCCTGTACCCGGCCTGACGCCTCCACTCGGCCTGACGCCTCCACTCGGCCTGACGCCTCCACTCGGCCTGACGCCTCCACTCGGCCTGACGCCTCCCACTCGGCCTGACGCCTCCACTCCACTCGGCCTGACGCCTCCACTCGGCCTGACGCCTCCACTCGGCCTGACGCCTCCACTCAGCCTGACGCCTCTACCCAGCATGATGAACTGATCCAGCCTGATGATCCTATTAGGCCAGTTGACTCGATGCCCGCTGTTGATCCAGATGATCCGGTACCTGATCCGGTGCCCGCTGTCGTGCCAATTGACTCAGAGCCCGCTGTCGTACCTGGTGACTCGGTGCCCACTGCCTTGCCAGATGACGCGGTGCCCCCTGGCGAGCCAAATGACCTGATGCCTGGTGACCCAGTGCCCGCTGTCAGACCTGGTGACCCGATGCCCGCTGTCGAGCCAGACAATCCGGTACTGATGACCCGGTGCCTGCTGTCGTGCCAATTGAGTCAGAGCCCACTGTCGTGCCTGGTGACTTGGTGCCCACTGTCTTGCCAGATGACGCGGTGCCCGCTGTTGAGCCAAATGACCTGATGCCTGGTGACCCGATGCCCGCTGTCCAGCCAGACGATCCAATGTCTGACCCAGTGCCCGCGGTCATACCAGTTGACTCGGAGCCCACTGCCTTGCCAGATGACGCGGTGCCCGCTGTCGAGCCAAATGACCTGATGCCTGGTGACCCGATGCCCGCTGTCCAGCCAGACGATCCAATGTCTGACCCAGTGCCCGCGGTCATGCCAGTTGACTCGGAGCCCACTGCCTTGCCAGATGACGCGGTGCCCGCTGTCGAGCCAAGTGACCTGATGCCTGGTGACCCGATGCCCGCTGTCCAGCCAGACGATCCATTGTCTGACCCAGTGCCAGCGGTCATGCCAGTTGACTCGGAGCCCACTGTCGTGCCTGGTGACCCGGTGCCTGTCGCTCCGCCTGGGGGTCCGGCGCCCACCGCTCCGCCTGGGGGCCCGAGACCTGTCGCTCCGCCTGGGGGTCCGGCGCCCCCTGGGGGCCCGAGACCTGTCGCTCTGCCTGGGGGTCCGGCGCCCCCTGCCCCGCTTGGGGGGCCCGAGACCTGTCGCTCCGCCTGGGGGCCCGGCGCCTGTCGCCCCTCCGCCTGGGGGCCCGGCGCCTGTCGCCCCTCCGCCTGGGGGCCCGGCGCCTGTCGCCCCTCCGCCTGGGGGCCCGACGCCTGTCGCCCCTCCCGCCTGGGGGCCCGACGCCTGTCGCCCCTCCGCCTGGGGGCCCGACGCCTGCGCCCCTCCTCCTGGGGGCCCGACGCCTGGGGGCCCTTCGCCCGTCGCCCCTCCGCGCCTGGGGGCCCGTCGCCCCTCCGCCTGGGGGCCCGACGCCCGTCGCCCCTCCGCCTGGGGGCCCGACGCCCGTCGCCCCTCCGCCTGGGGGCCCGACGCCCGTCGCCCCTCCGCCGCCTGGGGGCCCGATGCCCCTCCGCCTGGGGGCCCGATGCCCCTCCGCCTGGGGGCCCGACGCCCGTCGCCCCGTCTGGGGGCCCGAGGCCCGTCGCCCCGCCTGGGGGCCCGACGCCCGTCGCCCCGCCTGGGGGCCCGACGCCCGTCGCCCCGTCTGGGGGCCCGACGCCTGTCGCTCCACCTGGGGGCCCGACGCCTGTCGCTCCACCTGGGGGCCCGACGCCTGTCGCTCCACCTGGGGGCCCGGTGCCTGCTGCTCCGCCTGGGGGCCCGATGTGCCTCTGCCCGGAGTCCAGCCCGATGTGCCGCTGCCCGGAATCCAGCCCGATGTGCCGCTGCCCGAGTCCAGCCCGATGTGCCGCTGCCCGGAGTCCAGCCCGATGTGCCGCTGCCCGGAGTCCAGCCCGATGTGCCGCTGCCCGGAGTCCAGCCCGATGTGCCGCTGCCCGGAGTCCAGCCCGATGTGCCGCTGCCCGGTGGGCCGCTGCCCGATGTGCCGCTGCCCGGTGGGCCGCTGCCCGGAGTCCTGCCCGGTGTCCTGCCGGTGTGCCAGTCTTTGATATCCCGCCAGTTACCAGACCCGGGCGGTGGAACATTTTGCCCAGCTAGGACTGTTTGGAGCGTCCTGAGGCCGCTCCTTGAGGGGGGGGTACTGTCAGGAATGAACTGGCCAGCAATGGTGGGACTCGCCTGCCTTATGGGCTTGCAATACCAGGGCTGGCCAGCGGGTGCTCCCAGCAATCAGAGACTCAACCTTGCAGCCAGCTAAACACCTGAAACTGCTTATACTGATGTATTTAAGGGATGGCCAGACCTGCAGACTCTGCCTTGGTGTGTGTTTTTCCTGGGCCCTGTATCCTGTTCCTGCATCCTGTTCCTGTCTTGTTGCTGACCCTGCCTGATCTGACCTCTGCTGACTTCTCCTGCTCTGACCCCGGCTCGTTCCTGACCATCCCTCTGCCTGACCCTCTGTACCACGCTGCCCGCTACCTGCTGAACCTGGCTTGTGACCCCGACCATTCTCTGCTTGCTCCCCCTGTACCTACCTGCCCGATTGATATTGACCCGGCCTGCCCTGACGACGCTTGCATTGTATGTACTGTTATCTGTGGGTGGTTTGGTTCGTTTGCACTGTGTTATGTTTTAGTATTGCACTGCGTTTATGTTTGTATTGTTAGTGTTAATAAATTATATTGTTTATAACATATCTGAAGCCTGCGTTTCCCTGCGTCAGTCACATACCTCTGGTCACACCCTGGAGCCCTGACAGATAGATAGATAGATAGATAGATAGATAGATAGATAGATACATAGATAGATAGATAGCATACCTATTCTATCTTTATTTCTATATTGTTTTATGTTGGTATAGAGCAAATTTACATCAGTATATTTATGAGGTCCTTACTGTCCTTCAAATGTGGTGGAAAATATTTGTGCCAACAGCTGAAAAAAAATTATCTAAGTATTCACTTAGTTTAGCAAAAAAAATGAGTCCACCCCACTGATCAGAGGTATCCCCAGAGGGTTGTGTAGTTTGGGCACTTCGTATATTGGCATCCGGTAATATCAGGTACCAAAATTTGTTTTCTTCTACGCTTTCCTAATCAATCTTTATCTATATTTATTGTTTGGATCTCCCTTAAGCATTCATAGCTTCTCTGATCTAATATCAACCTATTGAGTTTTCTTTCACAGTTGTCTTTTTTAGGATTACAATCCCCCCCACCTCCACCCCCACCTTATCAGTTTATCTCTGTATGTATTAGGCTATATTTTTGATACTCTGAATATCCCGTTCAACCAAAAATTTACCTCCAAATAGTGGTTTGGGGTTGAATATTGAGTGGTTCCTCAGTTCACTATGCCTGAATTCTATTTCTTCCAGCTCATCTAAATTATTTGTGTGTGCATATTTCTGTTAAGTTTCCTCATACATTTTTGCAAATCTATGTAGGCTTTAAATTTTGTTAATATTTTTATCCGGGGCATACTTAAATTCCAACTCCAACGCTCTAAGTTCATTGTCAGTAAATGTGACATCAGTTAAATTAAAATCGAACTATGGGAAAAACTTTTTTTTCCACTTTGGATAGAGCAAGGAAGGGTTATAACCCGTCAGATTTTTTTTTTTTCTTCATCTGTCACATTGCAAAGATTTCCCTTCACTTCCTGTTCCACAACCAAACAGGAAATTAGAAAATTCCTGCAAATTAAGGGAATTCCTTGGGGACCGCTATATCACTAGATCTAGCGTCCCCATTAGAAGATTTAACCTCTACTTTACTTTCTTTTACGTTCATTTTCAATGATAGGTAAACAGAACAAATAGAGAAGGTGAATCTCCTTAACAGGGCAGAGGCAGTAAAAATAAAAAACAGACAGGTGTTTTAATACCTCTTCACTCTATCCAAAACTAAAAATATTTTGCCTTTAGTTATACTTTAAAGATCCTATCTCCTAAGCTTCTCTTTTACTTTTTTCACTACCCCATCTACTTCCTCTACATCTCCTCTTTCTCCCTCTCTTCCCCCCTGGGGGTTTTTTTATATGGATTCCAAAGCGGTCTCCCTTGTTTCTTTCCTCTTTCCCTCCCTTGGTGGATAAACCTACCTCTGTGATTGGGTCTTGCTCTTCCCCTTAAGATGCATCCTTTCCAGGCTTCAGGATGACTGAAATATAGGAATGCATAGATTGGCTCGGAGGGGATTCCCCTTGGAGGAGTGATTTTATATAGGTCTAGCAAAAATTGGGCTATTATAGGAAGAAAAGTTTTATAAGAGTAGGGGATACTGTTCAGTCCCAGGGATTTGTGTGTAGTCAAATGCCTAGTAACCTGATTGAGCTCCTCCAGGCTTATGCCCATAGTCAAAGATTGAACATCAAAAGGTGACAGTTCGGGTAAAACTAGTGGATCAGAAAACTCTCCAACTTAAAAGGAGGATGAATATCTGTGGAGATACAGTTGTACAGTTTGTGATAGTACTCCCCAAAAAACCTTAGCCATGGTTTGGGGGCAATAGGTGGGGATACCATCTGGTTAGCATAAGTGATCAGGTAAAGATGAAGGGGGATTGGCAGTAAGCCGGGGGTCAGCAACCAGTAGATTGTGATCTACCAGTAGATGGCAGCCAAGTGACTGGTAGATCGCAGTCTGGGCTTGCTGACCCACCATTCCAGAGCATCAAACAGAGTGCAATGCAGAGGGACTACTTGTAAAGTTGGAGCTGTAGTAGGGAGCAAGAGCTGCATAAGCAGATGCTTCCTCTGTAGTGCTGGCTCATGTCCAATACGGAATGATACCAATTGCACTCCACCTCATCTCTTGGTTAGCGGTCCCCAGAGTGGTGCCACCAAAAGGAAAGAAAAGATCTTCAGGTCAATGTGAAGAAATACACTGGGCATAATAGTATGGGGCTGCATTCGTACTGATTTGCTGCAGTTTACCCTCACCGTGGGTGCAGTGCAGTGTACCTGCAGCTTTCCAATGGGTTTGCTGTGCTTAGCCATAGACTTCTAATATATTCTGCAGATTTAGGTTGAAACAAAGCTTGTCTATACTTTTGAGGGTGACATAATCAAGTCTCCACCAACCACCATAAATGGAGTTGAAACAGAGTGTAACCTGTCCAGAACTCAAGCAAGAAACGGTAGTTGGTCAGAGTTAGGTGCGTATACATTTTATTAAACTGGTTATATGCAGAAACTCCACTGGTTTTATTAAATGACCATGGGGGTCGCTGTAGGAGAATCACACTTTCAAAGGGTAGTGCTTTCTTATCAAAATTGCTACTCCAGCCTTAACGGCAGCTTGAAAAAACCATCTTTCTGGAAGTGTTTCCTGAATAAAAATAACATCTACCCTTGAAGACCTGAACTCTTTCAACAGCCACCTCTTCCTAATAGAATTGAGACCTTTTGATATTCTTTGTATATGACTCTAAGAATCTTATCATACAATGTAAAGAAACTGGTATAGAAAAGGATGCATACAATGGTAAAGACTGCCGATAAGAGCTACGAATGATGAGGGTAATGGGGGAATTGGGTACTGGGCAACCGACCAAACATAAACTTAAAAATGTATAGCATACCCACAATAAGCCATTACACAGATGGCTAAGAAAAAAGGTTATTCATGATAACAGACAGAAGAGGATAAAACTTCTCAGGATGTCATGGGGTAAACCCAGACATTTATTAGGGTGCATGGAACCTCAAGGGTGACAGAGGC